GGGCAAGTAACAGGTGTGGGCAATATAGAAATCACACCTGAAAGCAGATAAAAAGGAGAGACGTTCACTTAACCTTTGCATTGTGTGTCTGTCTGTGCCACACTAAGCATGGACAACAGAAAGAGGAGACGAGAACTGTCTGAGGACCTGAGAACCAAAATTGTGGCAAAATATCAACAATCTCAAGGTTACAAGTCCATCTCCAGAGAACTAGATTTGCCTTTGTCCACAGTGCGCAACATTATCAAGAAGTTTGCAACCCATGGCACTGTAGCTAATCTCCCTGGTCGTGGACGGATGAGGAAAATTGATGAAAGATTGCAACGCAGAATAGTCCCGGATGGTGGATAAGCAGCCCCAAACATGTTCCAAAGACATTCAAGCTGTCCTGCAGGCTCAGGGAGCATCAGTGTCAGCGCGAACTATCCGTCGACATTTTAAATGAAATGAAACGCTATGGCAGGAGACCCAGGAGGACCCCACTGCTGACACAGAGACATAAAAAAGCAAGACTACAGTTTGCCAAAATGTACTTGAGTAAGCCAAAAGCCTTCTGGGAAAACGTCTTGTGGACAGATGAGACCAAGATAGAGCTTTTCGGTAAAGCACATCATTCTACTGTTTACCGAAAACGGAATGAGGCCTACAAAGAACAAAACACAGTACCTACGGTAAAATATGGTGGAGGTTCAATGATGTTTTGGGGTTGTTTTGCTGCCTCTGGCACTGGGTGCCTTGACTGTGTGCAAGGCATCATGAAATCTGAGGATTACCAAAGGATTTTGGGTCGCACTGTAGGGCCCAGTGTCAGAAAGCTGGGTTTGCGTCCAAGATCCTGGGTCTTCCAGCAGGACAATGACCCCAAACATACGTCAAAAAGCACTCAGAAATGGATGGCAAAGAAGCGCTGGAGAGTTCTGAAGTGGCCAGCAATGAGCCCAGATCTAAATCCCATTGAACACCTGTGGAGAGATCTTAAAATTGCTGTTGGGAAAAGGTGTCCTTCCAATAAGAGAGACCTGGAGCTGTTTGCAAAGGAAGAGTGGTCCAAAATTCCGGGTGAGAGGTGTCAGAAGCTTATTGATGGTTATAGGAAGCGACTGATTTCAGTTATGTTTTCCAAAGGGTGTGCAACCAAATATTAAGTTAAGGGTGCCAATACTTTTGTCCAGCCCATTTTTGGGGTTTTGTGTGACATTATGTCATATTTGCTTTTCTGCCTCTGTTTTATATTTGTTCCAATACATACAAAGGGAATAAACATGTGTATAGCAAAACATGTGTTAATGCAATACCTTTTTTGTGTGAAATACTTGATTTTCAGGAAAAATATCAAGGGTGCCAACAATTTCGGCCATGACTGTATGAATACACCCGGACTGATGTACGAACACACCCGGATCGATGTACGAACACACCCGGATCGATGTACAAATACACCCAGATCAATGTATGAATACACCCGGACTGATGTACGAATACACCCGGATTGATGTATGAATACACCCGGACTGATGTACGAACACACCCAGACTGATGTACAAACACACCCGGATCGATGTACGAATACACCCGGATCGATGTACGAACACACCCGGATCGATGTACGAACACACTCGGACTGATGTACGAACACACCCGGACTGATGTACGAACACACACCGGACTGATGTACGAACACCCCCGGATCGATGTACGAATACACCCGGATCGATGTACGAATACACCCGGATTGATGTATGAATACACCGGACTGATGTACGAACACACCCGGATCGATGTACGAACACACCCGGATCGATGTACAAATACACCCAGATCAATGTATGAATACACCCGGACTGATGTACGAATACACCCGGATTGATGTATGAATACACCCGGACTGATGTACGAATACACCCGGACTGATGTACGAATACACCCGGACTGATGTACGAATACACCCAGATCGATGTATGAATACACCCGGACTGATGTACGAATACACCCGGACTGATGTACGAATACACCCGGATCGATGTACAAATACACCCGGACTGATGTACGAATACACCCGGATTGATGTATGAATACACGCCTCTTGTACATAGACAATATTCACATATCAGCCGGTATATACACCCCCATGTAAAGGGGCACTCCTCTCACAGGACTGGTGCTTACAGTCAGCTGCCTCTGACACCCTGCTCTCCAGCGAGGACTGGGAACATTTAGATTTCAGTGGAGCCCACACGCCCCCAGGTGGGCCAGGTATGTTACCTGTTGTTAGAGGTCCTTCTACAGAACCATTCACTTGTCCCTCCAGCTGTAACACGGTCCCTGACACATTGGGGATTTACCGATAAGAATGTACCGGTGAAATACTTCCTACAGGCGCCTCTGTGTACAAAGCTCGTACAGGCAGTACGCGGGACAGCCTCTGTATGGGTCCTCGGGATGGTGACGTTATGCGGAAGCTGTGTACTGGCCACATGGTGCTGATGTGAGAGTTGTGATCGGGCAGCGATCTCCGTGTATATGGTGACACCCGCCGGAGCTGAGCTTACAGGTGAGTCGGATGGATACTTCTGGTCACCATTGTTTACTCTTTACATGTATGGTGGGGGCAGGCCGTCCATTGACCTACACCGGACTGGCAGACAGATCTGCTTAGCTGGAAGATCGCTTTGTGGTGTAGTGAAACTAAAAGTCCCAGCTTGGTTGTGGGCTAAAGAGACCCTGTCACAGCCCCAGTGTCCAGTTAAACATAGCCTGTCAGTGTAGTCACATAGCGGAAGTCGCACTGATTTGATCACAGCACTGTTAGACTGTGGCACTGGTACATATGTATGCTGATCCACAGATTTCAGTACAGAAAAAGTTGTACAAAGTAGTAGCACTTAAAGCGTTACTAAACCCAGGACCCTGCATTCACTCTATCTAGTCTCCCACAGTACACACAACATGGAAGTGAAATTATTTTAGTAAATATAAACTGCTAAATACCTTTTCTCATCAGCAGTATATATAAAGTCTTGTGACTTCTATCAGTGTCCAGCAGAGCACTGTTAAAGCTTGTAGGAGGAGTTTTTTGCTCTAGGAGAATGCAAAGCCCCTGACCCTCTGTCTGGACAGTGCTGATTGGCCCTGTGCTGATCACATGCACTCTACCATGAAAAAAAAAAATAAACCGCTATCAATGCACACTAAACTGAGCAGGTGCAGAATGGCTACGGTTCAGTCTGTCTTATCAGGACATAAGACATGGACATTTGAACAAGATACTCTAGGCGAGCAAAACATACTCCCACCCCTATCTAAGCCTATTCTATCTAACCCTATAAAGAAAAGATCTGTATACTTGCCTATTCTGAAGCCTCTACAGTCCGGTAGCCTCTGTGTGTAAAGCCAATAACAGCTGGGTGGTGCCTGAGAGGTGACTTCACCCATAGACTTACTACGGGGCATCCTTTGCTGGCTGCCACTCCTCTAAACAGAAGTAGCTGCTGACAGCTGATCCTGGGATGGGACCAGAACAGCTTCACAATAGGTAAGTAAAGGGATCTTTTTTTTACAAAGTTATGTAAAATAGCCTTAGAATGAAGTGGGAGTAGGTTGTGTCTGAACTTACACTTGATTTTAAATACATTCCTTATTAACCAAAAATAATTAAATTATAATCCCACTTTGTGTGCACTCAGTGCCTTGGCAAACCCAGATACTAACTTGTAAAAAAAAGTACTGACATTATACTGCTGTGCAAGGAGCAGAGCTGTGAGAGGGACCATTCGGCCCCACACAATACAGACTGCCTGCAGAAAACTACAAGAGGGGGCAAAGACAAGACCAGTCACCCTGCACAAGGAGTGAGAGCAGCACTGGCTGGTCTGTATTACAGGAAGCTCTTGCACAGATGCAAATTTTACACTGGGTTACTCCATAGATTTGGAAGTAAGAATACACATGCTTCTTGTATTTAGATAATATTTGCTTACCCTGGAGTTCAGCTTTAAAGTGGTACTAAACCGCAGCAGACACCAAAAAAAAGTCCCCCGCAAGGTAATGTCATAATGTGTTAGCATGCATTGCACACTGGTACATTATGTAAAACTTACCTTAAAACGAAGCCTTCCAGCAGCTGTCACCGCTGTAGCGGCTTCCATCTTCCCTTCCAGGTTCGCAAAGCTCCGGCATTCTGACAGGCTGTATCGTGATGATGTCACTCCCACGCATGCATGCGGGAGTCCCAGGCCATGGCATACAGCTCTGACGGAACGGCACAGGTAGGCCGTTCCTTCAGAGCGCATGCACCAGATTGAATGCAGAGAGAATATCTCCTAAACTATGCACATTTAGGAGGTATTCATTTTACCTATAGGTAAGCTTTATTATAAGTGTACCTGTAGGTAAAATTAAAAAACAGTTTACTACCAATTTAATATGTAGACAATTGCTAGTTTACTTTTGTGACAACTGGGCATTGTAAAGTTTAATAGAGAAATGTTAAGCTCTGCTGAAGGTTGAAGCCTATATCATCACATGTACAAAATATTCCACGTGAGAGACATCTGTAAACCGAATCATCATGGAGGGAATTAGGCTTTCATTGTGTACTTTTTTTTTTTTTCTGCTGCAGTGACCAGGTCAGGGTTGATCCAGCAGTTCACATAAGAATGGGAAGATTTTATTCTGAAGAAGAAGGCCTTTGTTAGCTCATGATGTTGCAGGTGTTTTAACAAAGAAAAACTGTGAATCATTTAAAGGTGTCTAAATGTTTTTGCTCAATATTCACACAAGTCTCTAATTGGATTTATTTTACAAATCACAAAGTTTAAGCATGAAATCATGTAATTCCTGGGTGAAAGTTGTGTGAATCTTGTGTGAAAACAAATAGACCCATAAGTCTCATCATAAAGAAAGTATTTGTTTCTTGACAAAGAATGTTGCTGAAGTGAACATGTTGTACATATCTGATAATTTTCCCTGTGTTTTATATTCTAGATATATAGTTTGTGAAGATGGAGTACATGAAGGGGCCAGCAACAAGCAACCAAGGCAACATGTAAGCAGTTCAATTCAGAAGAATGCAAATCTTAAAGCTGAACTTGTGGCAGATTTAAAACACTCAAACTAATGCAGCTCTGTGTTCGATACATTATTAAATAGATTTTTGTCAATTGTAGAACTGAAAGAGTCTGCATTTCACCTGGGAGCTGCCAGCTGCAATTTGCTGTACAGCAGACCTCAAATTGGGAGAGGGAGAAGCAACACAAGCCAGCAAGTTGTGCTGCACTGCACATGTACTAACCAAAGGACTTGTGGGCAGGAAGAGAGAGCAGAATTGGAGAGTGATGTATTCATCTGTATGCTTCTTCTCCTTTTACTGTGTCCAGTCCTAGCCTGTGGGAAGACAAGACCTATAAGCGTATCCAAACCCAAAACCAAAAATGTAATCTACTGCAGCTTACCAGTTCCTAGATGTGGTAGCTGCATTCATTTTCCTTTACTTTTACCTGGGGATCCTGGCAGCAATTATGTTATTTTTTTAAACTAACTGTAACAGACCGAGCTGTCAAGACAAATTGACAGAGGATTGAGACTTATGCCTAGTACACTCGATCAGAAAATCGGACAAAAAAATACAGCTTTCAAAACGATCATACAATAGTCTGATCATCAATACACAGCTTTCGAGAGCTGATCACGACAGTTCATACAAATTTATTAGTAGGGACAAACATGAACATTTTTCTTGTATGATACCAGAACGTACCATTTTTGTTTAATCAGTACAGTATTTGACCGAAAAAAAAAAGTAGGAAGACCAAGCAAAAAACAAAAGAATACAATACATGACATCACCTTCGAAGTTGAATCTGTCATATGAAAATTTTCATAGCTTTAGTAAGCTCTTCATTTTCTATAGGAAACTAGCATGCAAAAAAACCCCCAAAAAAAACGATCATTCGTCCAATATTCTCATTGTGTGTACGAGGCTTAACCATTCAAATTAGAACTAAACTCACCAATTTAACATTTTTTAAAAAACAGTTACGTTCCCAGCAAGTGTCGTGATTATAACTGTTACATTTGCTCTCAATCAAACTGTCAAACAATTAAATAGCTGGTGTCCTAACTGATCACATGTGCAGCATCATGGCAGTTGAAAATCTAACAAAGGCTAACATAGCAGCTTCTTTGGCCTTAAAAAGATAGGAAGATTTAGTTCCACTTTAAAGTGGTTGTAAACCTCAGACATGAAATAGGAACAAAGCATATCCCTCTATAGTGTGTACTTGTCTCACTCTACGCTCTAAGTGTAATTTTTGTCTTTTTCCTCGTTCCTCTGCTATCTGCATGAGTCCATTCTGATCAGTTTTCCTGACACCAAGAGAAAATGGTGACATGGAGGGCACAGTCTGTGATTGACAGCCTCAGCTCTGTTCCAGTGTGCTGTTTGAAGGAGGGTTTTTTTCCTTTCTCATCAATCAGCTCTCAGATCTCTTCTCACTGATGTAACTTCAGCTCCTCACCCACCTGCTTTTCAGAGCTTGAGAGATCCTGTGCAAATTCTGCACTTTGAATGAATGGAGGTAGGGGAGAGACTGCTGTAGATAAACAGGTAAAACTTATGTAGGAGGATTTGTTTAATCACTGGTAATAAGTAAGGGTTTACAATCACTTTAAAGAAGAATTCCAGGTATTGTATGTTAAACGTAGTTACTAAAGTAACTGTATAAACTAGTGGTGCACTGAAATGAAAATTCAGGATGCATTTGGCCGAAAACTCAAATGGACAGTTTTTAACCACTTGCTAACCGTGCTATAGCCGAAATACAGGTACAGTGCAGTTATCTAGTTCTGGGAGGGCGCCATATGACACCCTTCCGTGCGCCCCCAGCTGCGCGCACTTAGCAATCTCCGTGATCGCTGTGTCCTACAGACACAGCTGATCACATGATGAGGTAAAAGGCCAATCACAGTGGCCTTTTACCTCGTGATTAGCTGTGTCCAATGACAGAGCAGATCACGGAGTAAATACAGTTGCAGGTTATTGGCAGCACTTTCCTCACACTGTCACTGCGTGAGGAAAGTACTGTCGATAACCGACAGCTGTCACAGAGCAGATTGGCACTGATGATCAGTGCCCTGCAGTGCCTCCCACCAGTGCTGCCTAGCAGTTGCACCCATCAGTGCCGCCTATCAGTGCCATCAGTTAGTGCCATCTATAAGTGACCATCATTGCTGCATATTAGTGCAGCCTATCAGTGCCCATCGGTGCAGCCTCATCAACGCACATCAGTGAAGGAGAAAAATTACCTGTTTGCAAACTTATATAATAGAAACAAATGAAAACTTTTTTTTTTTCTTTTCAGTTTTTTCCTCTTTTTTTTTTTTTTTTGTTTATAGTGCAAACAATAAAACAGTGGTGATTAAATACCAACAAAAGAAAGCTCTATTTTGTGTGGAAAAAAAATTATAAAAATTTAATATCGGTATAATGTTGCATGACCGCGCAAGTGTCATTCAAAGTGAGACAGCGCTGACAGCTGAAAATTGGCCTCGGCACAAAGGGGGTAAAAGTGCCCGGTAGGCAAGTGGTTATAAATGTATATATTTTTCAAACGCAATTTTTTTTGGAAAAAAAATACACTTTAACAAAAATATTGTAAAATATGAAAGATAATGTTACGTCCAAGTAAATAGATACCCAACATGTAATTCTTTAAAATTGCGCACGCTCATGGAAGGGGCCAAACTACGGTACTTAAAAATCTACATGGGTGAGGCTTTAAAATTTTTTACAGGTTACCAGTTTAAAGTTACAGAGGAATACAGTTTACGTATGTTGGCGTGGCCTACGTATGCGGTCACCATTGCATTCGAGCACAGGGGGACGGGGGCACATTAAACTGTTTTAACATTTATTTTATTACATTTTTATTTACAATGTCCCTTTTTTTGTATCGCTATGCAAACGTCCCTTGATCTAGTGCTTTATAAAATAAAAAAAAAAAAGGCCTGGTTTACATGGAGTCGGGAGTGACGTAATGACGTTGCTCTGGTACTCCAAGGGCATAGAGATTAGTGGAGGCCACCTTTCCTTCACATGATCTCTATGCCCTTGCCTCTGGAATCGTTGGTTGGGTTCTCAGGTTAGCCTGAGAACCACCGGAAGGCGGCAGGGCTATTTTTGGTACCTGTATCAGTGCCTATTCTCGCATTAGCCGAAGACCAATAGGGGTATTTTTGACTGCCGAAACTTCGGTGCATCCCTAGCATATACCATACTTGGCTGATACCCATGGAAGTTGGAAATCACTGAAGTAAACACCACTACTACATTTTTCTTCAGTTGCTTCCAGGTCCCATACTGAATGGCCAGCCTGGTGCCTTGCGAATACAGGTGGTTGGCTGCTGTGCACATGAACCATTCAGAGAATGCTTTACATTTCTGAATGAATGGCAAAGTGTTTCTCTGGATGAGATGGGGAGCAGTGATGTCACACCATGCTCTCCACCTTGTCCAATCATCGAATGCTTTGCATTCATTCAGAAAATGAAAGCATTCTCTCAATGGTTTCCATGCTGAGCAGCCAGTCTCCTGTATTCAGAAGGGACCAGGCCAGCCACTCAGTATGGGACCTGGAAACAAGTGGAGATCACGGAAGTGGCGTCGTCAACTTGTGTGATTTCCAGTTTCCAGGAGCATCAGCAAGGTGTATATACATTATGTGCACAATTATTAAACAAGTTGTATTTTTGATGATTCATTTAATTGAACAACTACAGTGCTTATGGTCAATCCAAAATGTTAATAAACCACAAACCTGAATATATAAGAAAGTGAGGTTTTGGCTTTCTTAGGAGAATATCTATGTGTGCACAATTATTTTGGGCAACTGTTGGTGTACAGAATTATTATGCAACTAAATGAAAAATAGTATTTTCCCATTTCACTTGTTTTATTTTTATTTGTTAACGTGAGAATAATAAACAAACAACTCAAAATTTACAAATAAACATTTGACATTTAAAAAAAAAAAAATAGGTGACCAATATAGCCACCCTTCTTTTCGATAAGTCATAAGCCTTCCATTCATGGAGTCTGTTAGTTTCTTGATCTGTTGACTATCAACTTTTTGTATAGCAGCAACTACAGCCTCCCAGACACTGTTCAGAGAGATGTACTGTTTTCCTTCACCATAAATCTCCAGTTTAAGAAAGGGACAACAAGTTTAGGTCAGGTGAGGAAGGGGGCCATGTCATTTTTCTTTCATCTTTAAGGCCTTTACTGTCTAGCCATGCAGTGGAGTACTTCAGTGCATGTGATGGAGCATTATCCTGCATAAATACCATGGTCTTCCTGAAAGATGCAGACTTTTTTTTTTACTGTACCACTGCTTGAAAAGTGTCTTCTAATGTACTTGTGCAAATGTTTCGATGCTAAAACCAGTACCTTATGTGGGCCAGTTTGCAATGCAGTTTCAAAGCCCGGTCCAGTTCAGGTGCAATTCCAATGAAAATTGTAGTGTATGAGATTAGAAATCGCACAGGACTTTTTTTCAAAACGCACTGCGTCCAGCCAGCACTTATGTGAACAGGCTGTTAATACTCACTGAAACCCACATGAAACTGATGTCTCTGAAAGTGAAATCTGTGTGGATTTCCCAACAGTTTTCATGCATGTATGGTATGAACAGTCACGACACTAAGACAGGTTTTCGGTAATTGGTTTCGGCGAGTACTTGAGAAAAAGTATCAGTACTTGTAAAAAGAGAACATTTGTATCGGAGCATTCCTAATCGCTGTTTTTGACACAGCCCTTTAGTCAGCTGAGGAGGTTCCTAGAGACCTAATGTCAAAGCCAGCACCTATTAGTTGAAACATTAGAAAAAAATAAACCGCTAGATTCCTTTTATTATAATTCTGTTTTTCTCTTTTAGTCTTTGTTGTCAGTGTGGCATTCCAATCCCTCCAAACCCTGCCAACATGTGTGTAGCATGTCTACGGACACAAGTTGACATCAGTGAAGGAATTCCGAAGCAAGTTTCTGTGCATTTCTGCAAGCAGTGTGAACGGTAAGAGGCAAACAATTTCTATTCGTCTGTCTTTGCTTTATTTTCATTGTACAGTGCATATAAATAGTACTTGAAAAAGGTTTCCAGAAATGTTGGTTTCTAGTTTCAGATTAAGTTGTTCTGTTCAGTCTATTTTACGATCACAAAGGAGGATAGCCTTTTTTTAGGAGGTCAGCAGTGGCAGGCTAAAGGTTCTGTTAATATCAACTGAGCTTCATTTGAGTGTTTAGAGTACCTGAATATTGTTTACCATGTGCACTTTTCTACAGATGCACAATAGTTGCACCTACTAAACTGGCCATAGAGCAGTTTGAATTATTTAGGTAAATACTTACACATTGTCTTTGCTTCAGCAAAAATTACATGACGAAAAAAAAAAAAAAAAATTACTTCTAGCACATAGATGTTTAAATTTAACATGGCAGCTTAAACTGCATCTCTGCGTGGCTGGCTTAAAACACACTTGCGAACCATGTTTCCAGAAATATTCCAGCATGTTACCAGCCTTGATGTTTAATAAACAATTTTAAAATGCATTTTTGCATCCAAATCATTGAATATCATATTTTAGTAATAATTTCAAACTGATTTAGGGCCTGATCTGTCAATATGTTCTTAAAAAGCACTAATTAGAATCAGTCATATTGGGGGCTGAGGGCAAATACTGTAGCTCCAGTTATTAGAGCAGGCAATGATACTTTTCTTTAATGATGGAATCCCTGGCAGTTCTGGCAAAGCAATGACATTTCTGGCTAGTGCTGGAGCTTTCTGCTACCCTCTTTTCTGTTTTATGATTTTTTTTTATTTATTTTTTATATTATTGTTATTTTGTTACTTTTATTATGATGGCTTTTACTGAAGCAACTAGTGCAGTGCAACCATTTAGCACAGTGGTGCACAAGTGAAAATTTCCAATCAATAGTAAATGATAAATTGTTACGCTTAAAGCAAGACCCAAACAATATTCATACATAAATAGGTAAACAAAAGTTTCATAAATAAAGTTGTGATAACTCAGTCCTACTGAACAAGTCCCGCCCTGGACGACGTAATGCGTATAGGGAGAGGAGCTACATTGCTGACATCATCCCTCAATCCTCTTAGTAGTAGCTTTGAGCCCATCTGTGAAGCACTCTTGTTAGCACTAATATGTGCCTTAATGCTGTAAATGCATTTTATTTAAAGTAGTAAAGTTATTTAAAACGGAGAGCACTAGTGGTTTCCTTTTTTGCTTGCAGTGAATGCGTCCCCCTGCCCCGAGGTAGCGATAATGCAGAGTCCTGTAACATCTAAGGATTAACCATTGATGGTGACAAGTGTATGGTGAACTTGAAGGGGGCTATGCGGGTTTTGACCTGTCTGTTAATTCAGGGATCATATCCTGGTGGTAAGCGACCACTACTCTCTGTTGGTGGAGGCAGGAGTGACACCTACAGTCTTCTTTATAGATAAAGTAGTCCATTACTTGGAAGCACTGTGTTTTTTTTTTTTTTTTTTTTTTTTTTTTTCTTTTGGGGGGGGGGGGGGGCGACTGTTATCATTACAAGAATGTTATTTGATACTTTTTTTTTGGTATGTATTCACGTATGAATATTGTTTGGGTCTTTTATTGTAATCGAAACAATTTATCATTTATTGTTGATTGGAAATTTTCACCTATGCATCACTGTGGTAAAGGGTTGCACTGCACTAGTGGCTTCAGTAATTCAATGCATTAATTTCTGGTTGTGTTAGGCGTTGTGAGATTGCCTTGTAGTGTTTCAGCTGGCAATTCCCTTTGTAATTTAATTGCATATATTTTTGATATATTGTTATTGTTTTTGTTTTTTTTTTGCTTTTTCATATTCACACAGACTATTCATTTTTGGTGACTGCACTGATTGATCTATTGGCACTGGATTCTATTGAAGCCCTTTAGTCCCTTGTAGATTTACCTTTGTGCAGATGGAATTTGCTTGTTTTGCACACAATGTTCCTTGCTATTGCAGTCAGTTTGGGGTCACTGTGACCTGTTTATCTACAAACTAAAGCTTGCTTCTTTCCCACAAATACTAGGAGTTCTGCAATTTTCCTTCATCTTTAGCTGTATGCAATCCATTTTTTTCCTATGTTGACTTTAACAACACATGTAAAATCGTCATCTGCCATCATGGTTGTGTGTGTGGTCTGTTATCTGTTCAGCCTAAGTGAATGTAGGATTTACAGTAGTATTAAGGAAGAGAATGTTCTTCCACTGTTTTGTATGGCATACTCATGATTTTGGTTGTAGCATGTGTGTTTTTTTTTTTTTTTTTTTCTTTTTCAAACAACCGCATGAACAATGCCATATAAAATCAGGAAAACTAGCATTTGGTGCAGCTGCACTGATTTTTAAAGTGACAAAAGGGAGCCCTACACTATATCTTTACATTGAACACAAGATGCAAATTTTAGTGAAAGGAAAGCCAAGTTCTGTGCCATCATTAGGCTGGCCATAGACAGGCAAGTGCCTCTATCAGAATGATGGGCAGGAAGGAATACATCTACTCATCATCTGTAACAGAGGTACCCACTGCTCTTTATCTTGTGATTTACCCAGAAGGGCAACTGTGGCATCTCCATCACTACTGCTGGAATCCTCTCCTGGATCCATACCCGGCATCTTCCTTTTTTGGCCATTGGGTGGCCACTGATGATGAAACCTCTAGAGCAGTGGTTCTCAACCTGTGGGTCACGACCCCTTTGGGGGTCGAATGACCCTTTCACAGGGGTCCCCTAAGACCATCAGAAAACACATATTTCCGATGTGTAAAGAGCAGCTACTGTGTAGAAAGCAGCTGCTGTGTTGAAAGCAGCTACTCTGTTAAAAGCAGCTACTGTGTTGAAAGCAACAGTATTGGAGGTAAAACGACACTCATGAATTATAATTACTGGGTAAATAATTTTATGGTTGGGGGTCACCACAACATGAGGAACTGTATTAAAGGGTCACGGCATTAGGAAGGTTGAGAACCACTGCTCTAGAGTAACTGTAGTTACATCATCCTGCCACCTAATTGTTGCTATTGGCATTTTACAGACACAGAGTGTTTGCTGCGCATGTTTGCAAGCTATGTAAATAAAATAAATGGTAAAAGAGTCTCTACCTACACTATTTACATGTATATATGTATTACCTACAGGAAATGTTATTTCTAAACTTTAGGTCCGCTTTAACAAATTACTTTCCCTACTTCACTGAAAAGAGAGAATATTAAGCAGGTGGCATGGAGATGACAATTTGGTCACTGTTCTTACTCCACTCTGCTGGTCAAACACTGTGCTTTTTCCTTCTGATAGCAAGCTCCCTGTGTTAGATTGTCAATAGTAGTAGTAGTAGTAGTCTAGCCTGACTTGCTCACAGTGCTACTGTGCAGAGGGTTTCAGGAAAAAAATGTAAAGCTGCTTAGCTGCTTAATCTAGCTTATTTCTTAATGAATGCATAGCTAGTTTAAACACTAATCCTTTATATCTACCTGGATCAAAGAAAGAGGGTGTAATTGCATTAAGCTGCTTGGAGTTTCTACTAGTTGCCAATCGAATATCGGCACCAAAATAAAGAAGATATAGTAAAGAAAAAATAAAATTCAGAATACAATATCTTAAAATGCTCTGTAAAATTACACTATGTGTTCCCTTTAACCTTAAGTTGTGCTCTGGGAGTTCAGCCACTTTGGTAAATTGCAGACTTACTATGAGTTAAGTCCAACGAGGTGCATGCCAGCTCATGGACTTATTTCATTTACATCTTCGTTTTATTGTGATCCAGAAGAGTAGCTTTCTATACTTCCAGAGCTCTAGTGCTGGACCTTATGGTTTCGGCTGCAGAGTCGCATGCAGCTGTTGTGCCCATCTCTCCCCTCTGCTACCTATTCACAGAAGCTCTATTTTGTGAACTCATTCACAAAATACAAAGGCTTCTGTGAATGGACAGCAGGGGCAAGGGGGTGATCAGAAATTCTGTGTGTAAGAACATAGCGCCTCTCTTCTCAGAGTCCTGGCATTTATCCTCCTTTCCACTGGGAGTGCTACCATAAAGCCATCAGATCTAAATTAAAAAGAAGTCTGTAAGGTGCAAGCACCTCATTGGACTTAACTCATAGGGGGAAATTTATTAAAACTGGAGCACTCAAAATCTGGTGCAGCTGTGCATGGTAGCCAATCAACGTCTAACTTTAGCTTGTCCAGTTAAGCTTTGACAATTAACCTTGGAAGCTGATTGGTTTTTATGCAGAGCTGCACCAGATTTTGCACTTTCCAGTTTTAGTAAATCTCCCCCGTAGTGTGCCTGCACATTTATTGAAGTGGGGTGAACTCCTGGAGTTCAGCTTTAAAGCAGAACTTCATTTACTTATTTGCTAGAGTACTACTTGTTTTGTAGCTGATGATGTAAATATAGATGTGGATACTGAGGATTTCATTTTTTTTAAATAGATATCTACAGCCACCAGCTACATGGATGCAGTGTGCATTGGAGTCCAGAGAGTTGCTTACGTTATGCTTGAAAAAACTAAAGTCTTCATTAAGCAAGGTATGACTAGAGTGGGCTGAAGGGTATTCTAAGCTATAATGCAGTTATTAGACCATCATGGGACTTCTTTTACAACTTATCTCACATGTTTTTTTTTTAGCTCTGTCCTGATTCCAGCTTAAGTGTGTTTTTGTGATTCTCGTCACACACCCACACACATATTTAATCTAGTATGCAAAATACCTGCATATTTTTCACATATGCCTGCATTTTCTATGTACAATAATAGTAAATGAAGACTTATCCCTTTCCACAACAGTGGGTTACCCTGGATTATCCTGATGTTATAGTTCTGGGCTGTTAATAGTTTTGCAAGCTGAATAACCTTCACAGGTGAACCATAGGTCATTTAAAGTTTTTGCCCTGCAATGGTGGTCTCTAGGACAAGTGCATTTTCTTGTCCTGCTCCTGGATCAAAATCAAGTTAAGCTGAGTGGTGTTTAGTCATTTGCTGGAAGTTTTGCATTTTATGCATGAATACAAGGCTTTCTCTGATTGGCTAAGGTGAAGAAGTAGGCAGATGATATTATGAAGTTTCCATCCCGCTGCTGGAAAGTCAAATGTTAAAAAAATCCATTCAAAATATCTCAAATAGTTTTAAAAAATATTTTCCCTTTCCAGTTGTGTCTTTGGAACAGGACTCTATATGCAGCTTCAGACTACTGAGAGAGTCCATGAACGTACAATGTACCACCCAAGCTTTGATGTCGTTAATGTTTGTTACGGCAAACAGTGTTAAATCTGGTTTACAACTGATAATGAGATCTGCATCACGGAGTTATTTATGGTAAACCTAACCAGCCCATTCCTTAACATTACATAGAAGGGGGGAGCTTTTAAATAGAAGGGGGGGAGCTTTTAAATAACTAAGATAAGCAACAAGCTTTGGATTTTTTTTTAAGCTATACTGTGTGAATGAGAAAATAGATGTTATCCCAATTTGGCTACAAAAATGTAAATACACTTTACATCAGGCTTTTGAACTGTATTTTACAGCTGTCTGTCCCCATTATGGAGATTTCTCCTTGCTTAGTGCCCAGATGACAGTTGTCAGACCAGACAGAAATTAGGGGCATGCCTGTTAAACTGGTACATAGACAACCTTTAAAATTCTGAATGGACACAGATGGCACTAAAGCATGAGTGAGAGCTGAACCAGTTCCTGCTCTCTTGGTCTGAGTTGGGCTTTTCGTTTAGTTCCAGTCTGCAGAATTTGAGGCATTTCTGGAGCATGTGTTGAGTACACTGTGAAGTCACAGATTGGAAGTATTTCCTTCCACAAACACTGGATCAGAGTGAAGAGCTTAAATCCACTCAGTAACTGCTTCTATTTTTGTGCAGCATGAAACCAAATCCTGTTAGCAACATTAAATGTTTGATGGTTGAGTCCAAGTATTTCAGACCGACGCATCACACCAAACTAGTAAACACACAAACAACTCAGACATTTCCAAAACTTCATATAGTAATCCTAGCATTATGGCCATTTATCCAATGTTGTATTTACCTAGATTTTAGATATTTACTGGTGCCATGTAACCCCAGACATTTTCTGTGTGTACTTGAAAAGAGTTAAAATGTCTGCCAGGTTTCTGCTTTTCCTGACTTCTGTGCCTGTAGCCCCCACACAGGAAAATTAAAGGGGGGGGGGGGGGTGAATGTTGCTGATACCAGGACAGGAAGTAATTGGCAACAATTAAAATAACACCTAAAATATGTATCTTATTCGTACAGCACAGGGTTGGGTTATATGCAGGCTACCGTCAGGTGATTGGACAACTAAGGCCAAACATGCTAGGGCCACCCCTAATGCGCGCTCATAAAACCCCACCCACTTTGTGAGACTCCAGATTATTACCTAGTGTCCTTTAGGTGATGGACTGCCTCCTATTTTTTTTTTTTTAATTGTGCTTTTTGTCTACCAAAACTTCTATCAACATCTGACTGCTTGTTACCTTGGGTTATCTAGTAGTTTCCTTATCAATTGTTGTTATACTTTGGGAACCATACTGGTAACCCACTGTGTGGGGCCACCCTGTAATGTTTGCTCAGGGCACTGGATCCTGCATCAGGTACTCACCTTGGTACAAAGTGCAATGCATGTATTTAGCCACAATGTGTTAAATCTAGTATAGGTCCAGGGCTGTGGTCCATGCATGGTTCCTGTATTTCCTGTTGCCTTCTATTGCAAAGACACAGTCACAAGAACACATAGAGCTCCTGGTCTACAGCTTCTGAACACACAAAACCCTATTCTATTCACATGTGCATCTATCTTTGTGAGCACCCCGTCAAGGATCCCCTCATTTTAGCAGTGGTGCAAGGTAGATTGGACAAAATGACCAACTAACGTATGTTCTGCACTATGTCTGAATTCTTCAGAAAACTTTTGTCACTTCTAGAACCCCTCCAGTTTCCAGGTGGAAAAACTGACACTTCCTTTCTCCCTTGAGTTGGAATCTCCAAACCTGTTTGAGGATAAAATGGAGAAAAGCGATGGTGATACTGTAATGAAATCTACAGAGGATTTTTTAATCCTTGCATTTTATGAGCTCTATTGTATGGTTTCTCGACTAATGCTGTTCACTGTTGACACACTGATGCCGTGCAAACTAGTGCCTAGCAGCACCAGATTCTCCGCAGAAAAACGGGGCCCTGCGGGGACTAAGACTTTTCCCATCCACACACACATTGGGTGTTACTAGAGGATTGGCCTCATCCTGAAAGGATGCTCACTCCTCCTAAGCTTTTTTGCTGACATATATCCTGTGGAAAAGGCATTTTAAGGAAAAAAATGGGCTGTTTTTAGTAGTAGATTCTGCCATTTCAGTTCTCAACATCCTACTGAGGCTGTTCCCTGTTTCAAGGATTCTGTTAATAGGTGTTTTGAAACCTCCTTAAAGGCATGCTTTGCTCCTGCAGGTCCAGCCCTGCAGTTTAGAATTGCTAAATATAAATGCAGAAATAATTGTGCACTCAGTGCAAAAAAAGAGGTAATGCAGCAACCTATTACAAATTGCCTAATTACAAAAATAATTACTGTGTGCAAAACCAATATCTCTGTAGTAATCAAATACAAAATATGTGTGTGAAAAAATAAGGTTAACTCATATTAAACCATAATAATAAACAATGTGCATCAAATAAATGATAAAATAACAGTCCCATAACATATAATTCACTTATGCATAACAAAGAAGTAAACAGAGAAAAATATATAAAAGTCCAAATGTGAAATTTTGAAAAGGATAAAAGTCCACGTGTAAGAATCCCAAACCATCTAACAAACAAATGTGCCAGTTCCCTTACCAAACAGTAATGATCTCAAAATAAGAGATCAACAGCACAGAAATCATCCAATCGGGGGGGCACCACTCAGGATACTACTGACTCCACAATCCTTTGCTGGTTGTCCAAAACCAGCACCTCAAAGTAATAATGGGTAGGAGAAAGAACAAAAGACCATAGAGTAGTATGCTAAAACCACATGATTTATTAAAAGTAATATACTCACAAAAATTAGAGACGCAGCCAAAACACTCCACACCAGGGATCAACAGCAAGTGTACAACATCATATGCCACTGGCCTCACCCTATGCATTTTTCATCTGGTGCAATGGATGTCTTCAGGGGATAAAGAAAGGTGGGACCTGTGGCTGTCAGAATACACTCAGGAGTGGCTGCATCTGACTGGCTGCAGCTGCTGATAGACAGACCATTTTCCATCATGTCCCTTTGAGTGAAGTCAATAAAACAATCCGCTTCCGTTGGAGGAGCCCATGCACTGATTGATATTTGGCCAGGCCCTGCTATTGTCCAATGTCTTTTATACACAAGATGCAGAGAGGATTGTTTATCAAATTGTTTGTTTGAGGTTTGGACTGTATTACATGCAAAATCAATTAAAAGAAAAAAAATGCATGAGTTTTGATTTAAGACCTAGGAGGTTGGTTTCTTTTGTCCTAAAATGCTTTTGATATTTAGGGGTTTCTTTACTAAAGCTGGAGAGTCAAAAATCAGACTCCCTTCTGCATAGAAACCAATCAGCTTCTAACCTCAGCTTGTTCAATGAAGCTTTGGCAATGAAACCTGGAAGCTGTTTGGTTTCTATGCAGAAGGGAGTCTGATTTTGGACTCTCCAGCTTTAGTAAATAAACCCCTTAAAGTCTTGAGTCTGACCTAAGCATCAGATGACTTGAAACATGAAGCTGTTTGCTCATATTCTATGCCAGGCAAGTATTCTGTTGCTAAATATAAGTTACTGATCTCATCAGAAATTGCCACAAATGTCTGTGAATTTATTAGTCAGGGATCCCAGAGAAATTACATTTATAAAGATTTGTTCATCTCTACCAAAGCATTTTGCACGACTGACTGAGATTTTATTGGATATTTTTAAAAGATACTGTAAATGTAGTCATAGTATCAGAGAAAAATGATGTGCACAAAACACAGTTTGCATTAATATTGCGATTAAAGGCAATTTTAGTTTGTGGTCTCCAACTTTTTCCTACCATATGTCCAGCTTCAAAAGTGACACAGACTTAGAAATGTACTTTACATAAGTTCAGTTATTACCTTTGCCTTATAAAATGTAATGAAAAACATTTCTTTTTCATTTTTTAGTGTTGGATAGAGAGAAGAGGGATTAGAACACCTGTCATTGTTTTTTACTGCTGTGTGTATCCCCACTAGGGAGATTCACCCCCTCAATGTGCCATGTTTACCGTTGTCACAAGTGAAAGTAAAAGACAATACCAAATTTTAGGTTGTCCCCAGAAAAAAGTAATAGAGGGAAAATCTTCAAATGGGGACACTAGTTCTTGTGACCTAGTAACAGCCAGGGATTCCCCCAGTTTGCTATCATTTCCTGTTTAGGCTATGGGACAGGAAGTGAAGGGAAATCTCCCCAGTGGGACACAGATGGCAAAAACAAATCCTGACATAGGTTATAACCCTTTTAGTCTTTCTAAAATGAAAAAAAAAAGTTTACTTTAATCACTTCACGACCATAGGACGTCCATGGAAGTGGGGGAAAGTAAAAACTCTTCAGTGTGCAGCTCCCCATCAGCCCCCCCCCCAATACTTACCTAAGCCTGATTCCGCTATCTCTTGAGTCTCTCTCCTTATTGGCTGAGACACAGCCAGTGTGGGGAGTGGGGGTCGGGACTGAGCTACGCTCTGCGTGTCCCACAGACACACAGAGGTGGCTCAGGAGCAAGCACACACGAGCAGTCAGGCACGCACTCAGCAAGGGGGAGGGACCTGAAGCGCCAGCAGGGGACCCGAGAAAAAGAGGATCGATGCTGCAAAACCATTACACAGAGCAGGTATGACATGTTTGTTATTTTAAAGAGAGAAAAAAAATTAACCTTTATAACCACTTTAACTCTTTGTGCATTTGGTGTTCTGCACTTAGTAGTACTCTGCTCCTTCAGGACCTGTTCACATAAGGCATTTTTGAAATTGCAGCAGAACACGCAGTGCAGTTTTGGGTGCCATTATTCTTTAACCACTTGCCCTCCAGAGGATTTACCCCCTTCCTAACCAGGCCATTTTTTGTGTTCCAGCGCTGCGTTACTTTAATTGACAATTGCGCGGTCATGCAACACCGCACCCAGATGAAATTTACGTCCTTTTTTTTTCCCCACGAATTGAGCTTTCTTTCTGTGGTATTTGCTTGCCTGTGCGGTTTTTATTTTTTTGCTCTATAAGCAAAAAAAGACTGACAATTTTGAGAAAAAAAAACAATATTTTTGACTTTTTTGCTATTAAACATGTCCAGTTAAAAAATCAAATCTTGTCATAAATTTAGGCCAAAATGTATTCTGCTACAAAAAAAATACCAATACGTGTAAATGAATTGGTTTACATGAAAAACAGCACTGACACTGTACTAATGACACTGGGCAGGAAGGGGTTAATGTGAGGAGTGATCAAAGGGTTAACTGTGTGTAGGGAGTGTTTTACAAGGGGGCGGGGGGGGGGGGGTGTGCTTCACTGTAAGTACACTGATCGTGATGGCTGTGTTGTGCACAGCCATCCCTGAGCAGTGTGCCCGAGCTGACAGGGAGGAAGACTGTTTTGTAAAAAACACAGTCTTCCTCCCCGTCGGTGACTGTCAGTAATCAACATCTGCGGCCGCAAAAGGCGGTGCGGGTAGGGTGCGCACGGTTCGCGCACGCCCCCTACCCAGAAATGCAAAATCGTGTGTGTGTATATATACGTGATTTTGCGCACCCGTGCCGCTGTGTAGCAGTATATCTGCTATACGGTGGCGGGTAAGCAGTTAATGGCAACCCATATGCGGTATGTTAAAAACAGCACTAGGCTTTTCACCCAAAAAGGAGCGGGAATCCAGTTGAAGTGAATGGGCTGCCCTATGGGCGAGGTGCATTTCTGCATGCAAATCAGACTTTAAAAATCACGAGCAGGAATGCTCATTCCCGCTACACGATGTCTGAACCTTGAATGCAGGAAACCATGGCTAATTTATCTAGTATTACTTGAAATGGTTTTGACAGAGGAGATGTGAATGTTTTTCCATGTATCGTTTCATGCCTTGTGGAAATGAGCATAATGTAATTATACTTGTATTCTTTGCACACAGGTGCGGCTTATAGATGCTGGCTTTATTTGGACTGAACCTCACTCAAAGAGACTTAAAGTAAAACTAACAATACAGAAGGAGGTAGGTGGCCCTACATAACGCAGGTGTGCGGGTAATTGCCTCAGAATTCTTTCTGGAGAATAATCCTCTCTTCTGTTTCTTAGCAATTGCAGTGTGTGAGCTCCTTAGAATTGTGATGTGTTCAGTCATTTAAACTGTGGCTTGCCCTGCTTGTACTATATATGCCTGTAGAATGTAATGGAGCATGTGGGTTGTAAAAACACTTTTTGTCTCCCACAGGTGTTGAACGGAGCAATCCTCCAACAGGTCTTTGTAGTGGAGTATATGGTGCAATCACAAATGTGTGATGATTGCCATAGAGTGGAAGCCAAAGATTTCTGGAAGGCTGTGGTCCAGGTCCGCCAAAAGGTAAAACTTACCCATTTGTTAGCTTTATACAGAACAAGTATGTGTTGTCTGTGCTCAGTATTTATAAACTTGTACCTTGGGCCATATACACACGGGCTACAGCTGCATAACTGCAAAGTGTACAGCAGGGTTTGACAAACAGTTTTTATAAAGCTTTTTTTTAACCAAGCTTTGGACATCTTGAAGCCTTTACAGGGGCCTTCAGTTCCAGTATGGGGATGTTAACCTCTGGTCATAAGGGATGTGATGATGTTCACCTTAAACCAGCAGCCACACAATTCAAGTTTTTGAGCATTAAGATACATTATGTGATGCATTAGATATCCCATTTAAAATGAATGGGCTACAATGCATGACAATGTAATGCTTGGCGTGTTTATTGCAATGCACCACAAACATTGTGGTATGGCCCAGGACTTCAATCTGAAAAGGCTCGTGAGATGCCAGGCAGGAACTCAGGAGAGGGGCTGAAAGTGGGTATTTTGGTAGGTAGCTGTCACAGATGGGTAGGTGGTGGGGTGACATTTAAAGGACAGCTTCAGTAAAATTTTTGAGTTACAGTGAATGCCTTCAAGTAAGTTCTGATATTGCACTTCTTGCTAAAACTTCCATATTTTTGCTTTGTTTCTTATTGTTTTGTTAAATGTAGAGGTTTGCACTGAAGCTGAAGATCAACCACTTGAGAGAGCTTTAATTCACCCCCCTTGCTTAACTGCTTCCCCACTGGTGACCCTTTACCAGGGTCTTCATACGAGGGGCGGGATGGACTTCTCAATCTCTAAATCACTGACTGGCTGTCACAGTGGTCACACGATTAGGAGACCATCATGCTGGATCCCATTCATAATCGGGGCTGTCTGTCTTTTTTTTTTTTTTTTCCCCCATAGCTCAGTCATTGTGCTATATGCATTACATGGTCGGCAAGTGGTTAAAGGACAACTTCATCTTTAGTGACATTGTCCTCTAACCCTTTTTTTGCTGTGCTTTACTTTTAACCTCAGGTGGCCAGACCATTTTTGCAGTTTTTAACCACTTCAAGTCCGGATACTTTTACCCCCTTCCAGTCCAAGCCAATTTTCAGCTTTCAACGCTATCACACTTTGAATGACAATTTGCGCGGTCATGCAACACTGTACCCATTTGAATTTTTTAGTATTTTTTTGAGACAAATAAAGCTTTATTTTGGTGGTATTTATTCACCACTGGGATTTTTTTTTTTGCTATATAAAAGAAAGTCCAAAAATTTTGAAAAAAAAAGGGTTTTTCTTATAAAATTTTGCAAATAAATAATCTTTCTTCATAAATCTTGGCCGAAATGTATTCAGTTATCTTTTTAGTAAAACAAAAAACAAATTTAGTTTATAACCAAAAATTTAATTTTTTTAAAACTTTTTTTTTTTTTTTATATTATTTTTTTTTTTTTTACATACTGTCACCCTAGCCATGGTGTCACCATGGTGACACTACTACTTGTAGGGGGTTATGAAGATTTTTTTTTTTTTTTTTTACACTGATTGCTTTTACACCCATAAAGGCTGTAAAATCAATCATTTCTCCTTTCTTGCAGCCATTGAGAAATACTGTGTGAGCTGTGATTGATCACAGCTTGTCACATGGTACAAGGCTGTTGTGAATAGCCTTGTACCATGTGACCTCTGCAATCATTTACAGATTTCACGCGTAGTAAGCAGAAGTGACATCTTGCTTACACCTATTCATGTGATCACTGATTGGCCAATCAGTGATCAGATGATTGGGACCATACAGTGATCGGTGTTCCATTGTGTCCGGAGGACACAGCGGGCACCGGATCGTGGTGCTGCGCGCTCCCAGGGAGCACGCACAAGCAGAGGGGCGGGGAGGCCGTTTACAAACGGCCACCCCCCCCCTGCACTGCCACCGTCTAGTCGTTTATATACAACGGCCGGACGGGAAGTGATTCTTACAGCTTTAAGGGCATGTGCATTGTGATAACCCCAGATCCTCAGTGCTGTTGGTGTGCATTGTGGTGAAATGATGCAGACATACATTTTATTGCATTGCATGATACTGAATAGAGTTGGATGGATGTGGTTTATTTTATTTTCTTTTTAAATCCTTTTTTTCCCCTACCGTCTTTCAGGCCAGCACTCTGAGAGACCTCGGCTCCTCCCCATCTGAGGAAACACCTCCACCTACAATAAAAAAGCTCCACTCCCCTCTGACCTCGTTCAGGTGTTTCCTCCGGTGAGGAGACACGAGGAGGCGCAGGAGGACGATAGGGGAGCCGAGGGCCGGATAGCCGCTGTGAGGCCCAACGCAGCCGGGAGTGAAGGCCGGAGTGTCCGGCTGCATATCCTCCCAGGGCAGGCTGCCAGCAGTGAGAGTGCATCCCGGGGGACGGGACAGGGCACTTACCTGCTCTTCGCCCCCCGGCCCCCTCCGGCGAGGGGGGGTGTCGGGGTGGCCGTGGTGAGGTCTGGGGAGGATCGGGGGGGAGTTCCGCTCCTTCCCATGCTGGCGGTCTGAGGGCTTTGCCGGGCCGGACGTCGGGAGACGGCGGTTTCCGGCGGAAGGGGCGGGGCTTCGCCCAGGGCCGCGACTTCCGCTTCCGGTCGCGGCCTTCACACCACGGCGGCGCGAAATTTGAATGTGGCGGTGCGGTGCACAGCGGTCTGGGGGACAGACCTGCACCAGGCGACCACCCTCCGGTACGGGATGTCGGAGGCACCGGGACCAGGAGATGCCAGCACCAGCCAGTCGCAGGTAAGGTGCCTCAGTGAGGCCTCCCCTACCTGTGGGCCCCTAGCAGAAGGTAGGGCAAGGGGTCTGTGGTTTTTCAGGCCCTTGTTGCTCTGCCGGGAAGCAGGGGGGGGGGGGGTGTTTAGTGTCGGACTGATTGGGCTTCCCCCCCCCCCCCCCCCCCCCCTTTTTCTTTTGTGTCTTGCAGGGCAAGGCCCGAGCTAAACTTAGGCACCAGGAGCCCAAGCGGAGATGCCCTTCCTGTAAGGAAGTTCTAAAAGAATCTTGGCGAAAGGTTCTTTGTGGCCCATGTATACAGGGGTTGGTGAGGGAGGAGAAGCCGGAACAGGGGGACCTAGCTAGGTCAGTGAAGGAGTTGGCTACCACCTTCGACTCCTTCAAGTCCCTCATGGAGAGGTTTGCCCTCCCATTACCTACACTTCCCCCCCCCCCCCAGGTGGCTTCGGCGAGTCGTCGGGAACCCCTTATGACTGGGGAGGAACCAGTGGGGGACTCCCAGTCTGAGGAGAATCAGCGGGTGAGGGTCCCTCAGAGGAAGGGAGGGGCCCCTCCCCGGTATAAGTTGAACCCTAGAGGAGGTTGATGAGCTCCTGGGGGCTATATACGAAACCCTGGACATTAAGGAGGAGGTTAAGGCCTTATCTCTCCACGACCAAATGTATCAGGGATTGGAGGAGCACCAGCACAGAATGTTTCCTGTGCATGACATTTTGGTAGACACGATTAAGAAGGAGTGGCAAGACCCGGAAAGGAAACCGTTCTTCTCAAAAGCGTTGAGGAGGAGGTTTCCGTTTTCGGAAGACCCGGAGGCGGTCTGGAACAAGAGCCCCAGGCTAGACGCGGCTTTTCCCAAACAACCAGGAGAACTGACCTAGCGTTTGAGGACATGGGGGTCTTACCGGACTTATTGGACAGAAGGGCAGAGTCTCTCCTTAGGAAGGCCTGGGACTCGACCCTGTACAACCTGAAACCGGCCATGGCTACGACAGTGGTAGCCAGGAACTTAGAGTATTGGCTTACGCAATTACAGGCCCATATTGTGGCAGACTCTCCCAAGGAAAAAATCTTGGCCTCTTTTGAGACCCTTTTGCAAGGAGTGGGGTATATTGCGGATGCTTCCGCGGAGTCGGTGAGATTGGGGGCCAGGTCTGCTGCCCTGACCAATTCAGCCAGAAGGGCGCTGTGGCTAAAGACATGGCAGGGGGACATCACTTCAAAAGTTAGGTTATGCGGCATCCCCCTCACAGGAGACTGTCTGTTCGGCCCGGGGTTGGAGGAATTATTGGACCGGACAGCTGATAGGAAAAAGTCCCTTCCCCCTCAAGAGGAAAATGCAGGAGGGGGGGACACGGAAGGCCCGCCCGGCAAAGAGGCTGAGCCTGCGACCGCCTGGTCAGGGTAGGTCGGCTGGACAGAGAGGTAGGGGAAGAGGGGGGGGCGATTTTTCGCCCTCCTGAGCAGCCCCAAAAGCCAAGTGTGACTTGGTTCCTCCTGTGGGGGGAAGATTGGCGGCATTCTCCCACAGTGGGAAGCCGTGGTCACCAGCCCCTTCATTTTGGATGTCATCCGAAGGGGTTACCGGTTAGAATTTCTGAGACCGCCACCCCCGAGACTTTTCTAGTGACGACCCGTCCAAGGGATCCGACGAAGGACGCGGCTCTGGTGGGCGCTTTGGAGATTCTGGAGTCCCAGCGGGTCATCTCCAGGGTTCGGTAGCGGAGCGAGGGAAGGGAGTTTATTCCCATGTGTTTGTGGTTCAAAAGCCGTCTGGGGCGTTCAGACTGATTTTGAACCTGAAACCTTGAACAAGTCAGTACGTTACCGGAGGTTCCGCATGGATTCCATTTTTTACAATCAGGTCCCTAATCCGCACCAGGTGCATTCATGGCATCCATAGACTTGAAGGACGCCTACCTACACGTGCCCGTGGCGGAAGCCTCTCAGAGGTTCCTCAGGTTGGCAGTGGGGGGGGGAGGAAGGAATTCGACACTGGCAGTTCAGGGCTCTTCCATTCGGCCTTTCCTCCTCGCCAAGAGTATTCACAAGGTTCTGTCGGAGGCACTGATTTCTATCCGCTTGAGGGGGATTTCAGGTGGTGGCCTATCTGGACGATTTTGCTGCTCTTCGCAGATTCAGAGGCTCACTTACGGCAAGACCTGGTTATAGTGAGGAACCATCTGGAAAGCTTGGGGTGGGGTTTTGAATCTGGAGAAGTCCTGCCTGGTGCCTTCTCAGAAGGTGATTTACTTGGGCTACAC